AATATGTTGTATAAATTGTATTATGTTTTTTTTTTTTTTTTTTTTTTAATTTTTTTAGAATTAAAAAATAAAAATAAAAATCAAATTCTTAAATATTATGAAATTGGAAATTAAAAAGAAAGTATTGAAAAAATCCTAAATTTATTTTTCAAAAAATTTATTGTATGAATCTATCCAAATTTTGTACTGTATAAATATGAAAAAAAAAAAAAATGTATATTTATGTATATTGTGTGCAAGTTTAATTGAAATATATATATATATAATAAAATGTGAATATATATTATTATTTTAATTATTTTTAACCTCAACGGAATATTTTTTATTTTTAAAAAAATAGAAAAGAGATCCTTCATGTGTTCCTCTGCAAAAAAAGATAAAAAAAAAAAAATTAAGTTCACTTGTTGGTAAATATATAAAATGAAGTCTACAAAACTAAATATATATTTATAAAAACAGAAATGTTTATGTTTATTTTATTTTACATCCATAAATTTTGTAGTATTTCTGTCCTTTTATTTTCAATATGCTTAAAAAATAATGATGTCTAAAAAGAAAAAAAAAAAAAAAATAAAAAGCTAAATTATATATATATATACATATTATCATATCTTTAAATTTGTTACTAAAAAGTATTACATATTATAAATTGAAATTATTAAAATAAAATTTTGCCATACTTTAAAAAAAAATATACACAAAAATTAAAAATAAGAAATAATCATATTTTGTATAATTTAAATATGAGAAAAAAAAAAAAATAAAAATGCACATTAAATTAATAAAATTAATCAAAAAAAATTAAATGGTATGATGTGAAAGTTTTTACTCAATAATATATATATATATATATATATACCTCAATTAACTTTAAGAAAATAATAGAAAAGGTTGGATTATAAAAGGATAAATAATAAAAAAGTTTTATAAAATAATCAATAGCATTATTATGAAATAATTTATTTAATGAGTTAGATTTTATATGATTTATATCAATCAATGTATGAGCATACAAAAAAAATTTCCATAAATTCTTTTCTTTCATATTTTTGAAATCTTCAAAATAGAAATGTAATTCCTTTAATATAATATTTTGTAAAACTGGAATACTTTTCACAGTACTAATGTAAAATATTCTGTTTAAAACCATATGATATAAATATCCATATAAATATAGATATTTTTTATATATACTTATTAATTTTTTTTTTTTGAAGAAATTCAAAAAAATAAAACAAATTTTTAAAATATACGGGAAATATTTTTTAATTTTTCCTTTGTAATTTAGTTTCTCGAGTAATTCATTTGAAATATCACAGAAAAAATTCATTGAATAAGTTTTATTTTTTATTTCGTCTTTTTCTGTATTATTAAACTTATACTTTAATGGAATGTTTACATCATCCGTGTATTTAGCATTAATATCTTTTAAATATATATATATTGAACATATATTATTATTTACTAAAAATTTATTATCACTAATGGCATTATTCATATAATTAATGTAATTTATCAATTTTCTTCCTATTTCATGAAATATGTTTTTTTCTTTAAATGCATCAATATCACTATCAAAATTGCGATTTGTTTCATTATAATCATTCAATTTTCTTTTTTTATCAAAGTCTATATTTTCATTATTTTTTGAGAGATAATTATTTATTTCCCCAATAATATTTTTATTCATATTAAAATTATTATTATTTGTTACATTTCCTACTTCCACATTAATGCTATCAAATTTATTACTATTTTTAAAAGATTCATTCTTTAAATTTATTTTATTGTCTACTATTATTTTTTTTCCACTTATATTTTGATGAATAGAATCACTATTAATAGGATTATTACTTTTTATAAGGGTAAAATTTTTTTTTTCAAGAAAAAAAAATTCATCAATAATTGAAAAAAAGTTTTTAATTTCTATATAATCTAATTGTGGTATATTTAATAATGCAGATAATAATAAAATACTATTTTTTTCTTTTGTTTTTTTTAATTTTTCAATATTATCTTCATCAAAAAAATTAAAGAAGGAAAAAAAATTATTTTCTATATTATTTGGAGTTATTATATAATTTAGAATATTCATTAAAGGTATTTTTAAGTAACTTTCTTTCCATATATTAAAAAATAATTTTAAATTATTACTTTTTACTTCTCCTTTCATAGGTATATCCTGAAAATTTTCTCCCTTAATTTTCTTCAAGTCTTTCAAGTAAGATGTTTTCACTTTTAAATTTGGCTCTATATTTTTTTTTTTCTTTTTTTCTAAAGAGATATTTTTATTAGTATTATTTAAAAAATATGATTTATAATTTATTAACTTATTCTCCTTCTCTTTATTACAAGTTTTGAATTCCTTTTCTATGTATTCTTCTTTATTTTTACAGATAAGATGTTCTTTACCTTCATGTATATTACATTCATATTCATTTATTTTATTGTAATCTTTACTTTTATTTTCATTGATATATTCTTTTTTTTTACTATCAATGAAATTTTCATTCTCACTTTTTTTATTATGAACTTCATTATCCTTGATATCACAATTACTATTTTCATCATCATCACTATCTTCAACATTATTATCATCTTCATTATCATATCTATTTTTATCTTCTTCATCTATGTTTTCATTTTCCTTATCATTATTTTTAATTTTTCCACCATCATCTTCATTTTCATACACTTTGCATATGTTGAGATTTTTATTTTTTTCTTTATATCCATTTTTATCCTTTGTTTCCATTATATGTTTATTAAAACTTTTTTTTTTTTTTTTCATATTTTCTTTTAATTTTAATTCACCTTCAAAACAAAATTCTTCTTTTTTTTTATCTGGTTTTATTGATTTTTTTTTTTTTTCATCATACTCAATTTTATCCACAGCATATTTAATTAATGAAAAAAAATTGTTATAAATTCCAAAATAGAAAAGAGAAATCCAAAATTTAATATTATTTTTTAATGTTAATATATTAAAATTATTATTATAAAAATAAAAACATATGCCTTCAATAATTGAAAACTTTAATAATATGTTGTTAAATAGTAAAGAATACTCATATAGATCATCAATGTTTTTTATTTTAAAATATTTTTGCGTTTTGTTAATTATTTCTTGTACTTTTATTTCATCACCAAAACTTAAAATTCCATCTTTTATAATATGATTAATAAATTCAATAATGTAAAAATGTTTATCTATACTTAACATTTCTTCATCATTTATATTATATTTTTCTTTATATTGCAAGCATAGCATTAATCTTAAATTACTATAGAACATATTATCAAAAGGCAATAAAGTTTTGTTTTGTAAATGTTCCTCCTTATTAATTTTATACTTATTTTTTTCTGCATTAATTTTCTTATTTACTTCAATATTTTCTGTTATTTTATTATTATCCTTGTTATTGTTATTACTTTTGTTATTATCATTACTATTAATTTTTTCATATAGGATTTTATCATTTACGTCATTAATTTGTTTATCTGGATTTACAGATACATTTTCTATGGTATCCTTTTCATTCGAACTATTTAAATTTATTTTCATTTTTTTTGTTTTTATTTTTTCTTTATTCATTATTAAACTTCTTTTAAAATTAGACTTTTCTTCATAATGATTATTATTAATATTTCTAAAAATATTTCCAGAATTTTTTTCATCCGCAGTTATTTTAGTCTCATCTTTTTTCATGTTATATATGGGATATTTTTTTTTTTTTTGTTTTCTTTTTTTTAAAAATTGAAATGAAGTATTATTATGATTATACTCATTTAGTGATATATAATATGGTTGGAACTTATCATTATAATCCGTATCTTTGTTTTGTAAATTTTCTTTTTTGTTCATTATTTTATCAAAACAAATATGTAATTTTTTCAATTTATCTTCAAAATCATTAGGTAATGAGTAAGAGTTCGGATTTAAGTTCTTCCGAATTTTCTTGTATATTTTATTATTTATGTCAATTTCATTGCATTTATTTTCTTCATTATTTTCATTAAGTTCAGTGATTTTACTAACTGTATTATTTTCAGTAATTTTAATAGCCGATATATTATAACCACTATCATTCTTATATTCTTTATTACATTTTTTATTAACATATGAGACATTAGAAACATTTTCTTTTGCATTTAAAATGGTTTCTAAAGATTTTAGTCGTATTATATGTACACATAAATTATACAAAAACTTTTTTTCTTTATCTTCACCTATTAACTCTATTATTTTATTTATTAAATTACATATTATATCATAACTATTTTTTATTTTCATTCTCAAAATTATCTCTTCAATAATATGTTCAACTTCTTCAAAAAATTTATGAGGACATAATGTCCATATTTTTCTTTTAACTTTTACTGAAGTTATTTCATAAAAATATTTAGCGGCAGGAGTTTTTTCAACTAAGATATTTAAAATATCTAAAGGAATTATATCTATTTTTTCTAATAATACAGAAAAAAGTGGTTGTATTTCACGAACTTGAAACATTAATATCATCTTTTTTGCAAGCTTAATTAAACTACAAATATATATAAATATATATATATATATATATTAGTAATAAAAAAAATAAACATATATAAACAAATAAAAAATTTTCAAGTGTATTTTTTTTTTTTTTTTTTTAAATACCATTTTTGTGATATAGTAATTGAATTAATTTTATTTATAAACTTGGGGGACAAATAATTATCAAAAACATTTTTGTAAGTAATATGTTTAGGAACATTTAAAAATTTTAAAAAATCAACTAAACCTGATAAAACAATATCTTGAAATGATTGAGTTTGCTGCCACACTTTACAAGCATTTACAGCTGGATATCTATTCTCTTCATCATTTTTCAGTTTATAATTATCTAAAGAAAAAAAGACAAATATTAATAATTTTTCTTTTAAAATGAAAATTTTCTGCTTTTATAAAATTAGTGCTTAATTTTTTGAATTTATATTCACTTTCTATTTTATTATCTAAATATTTATTCTGTACTTTATTTATTTATTTTTTTTTTTTTTTTTTTTTTTTTTTTTTTTTTTTTTTTTTTTTTTACATTCTATCCATTTAATTAAAGCATTTCGCCCAGCTGGACCACAATTTAATCTTTTTCTAACTAGTAGCTCATTTTTTTTTTTGAAATTTTTTATACTTCTTTTATTAAATAATTTAATATACTTCAATTTTTTTTTTCTTTTTTTTTCAGTATATTTCTTTTGATTAAAATTAAAATTCCAACCAGTACTCATAACTCATTAAAAAAAAAACATTAATATAAAAAAAAAAAAAAGCTAAATATTCATGTTTATATATACACTTATGTGTGGCAAATTTGTTAGTAATAACACAATAAACAAAAATAATTGAGTATAATTAAAAAAAAAAATAAGTACAATTATATATATGTCTCACAATGTATACATAAATTATTATTCACATTGCTTTTCCAATGTTTTTTTTTTTTTTTGAAGTATTTAAATATATATAATCTAAAAGTAATATTTAATAAAAAAAAAAAAAAAAAAAAAAATCACACATGCAACAAACTTTTTGTATATATATATAAAATAATTTATAGTTTTAGTACAAATAATAATAAATACCTTAGTAATAACAATAAACATAATATATAAGAATTTTATTATTTATCCTTTTATTACAATTTTTTAATTACTATTATTACATAAAAATATTTATTTATGTAAATAAAAAAATTAAAAAAAAAAAAAATGAATATATAATTTTTTTTTTTTTTTTTTTTTTTTTTTTTAACTTTGTTTCCTTTATAATTTATATATTTATATATGTAAAGAAAATGTTTTATATATATTTTTAATTTCATTTTAATTTAAAAAAATTCTAATTATTTAGACTATAGGTTATTTTGTTTAACATATTTTGTTTAACTTTTTTTTTAATATAAAAAGTAAATGTATATCAAATTATTTAAACAGTTGTCTTTTTAAAAAAAGAATATTAATCTAAATATATTCTATATTCAAATAAGAATATTAGAATCATAAAAATTATAAAAAAATGTAACACTGAAAAATTAAGGTTATTAAAAAATATAATTTAAAATATTTTTTGAGATATATTAAAAAATTGAAATTTTCTAATTAAAACATGTTATTTAAAAATTGAATATGCAAAATTCAATTGTTATTATAATTGATTCTTCATAATAAAGAAAAAAAAAAAAAAAAAAAAATATTAAAAATAAATGGTTTATACAAATATATTTATGTAATCATTAAAAGAATAGATGTTAAATATTTTGATTCTGGTAAAGAAACATGAATAGGATGATCAGAACTAATTCTTCCCTCACCTATTATTATGCCATTACACTTAGACCAATTTAATGATCTCTTTATGCATAAATTTAATTCATTATAGCCAATTAATTTATTACAACTTGATACAAACACATAACCTGGTTTTTGTATTAATTTAAATGATATATACAAAAGTTTTTGGTAAATTTTTAAAGCAGAAGGCAATAAATAATTGTTACGTGCTAATGGAGGTGGATCTATTAATATAACATCATATTTTTTTTTAAAAAAATCAAAATTATTATTTTTAATTAGTAATTTTTCTATATCATCTATATCTTCTATATATTTATTATTTTTACCCATTTGGTAAATGAATATATTTTGAATATCTGAAAAAATATTTTCCTTTTTTCTACATTTTTCATCATTCACATAAGTTTTTTCTGAGTTTTCTATTTCATAATTAATAGCCTTTTTTTTTTTTTTTCCTTCTCTTATATCTAATGGAATATGGTCATTTTTATTACATTTCATTTCTTCGTTTTCTTTGGTTGAAAATAAGAGAAACTCTTCTTTATTTTTTGAAATATCTTTGTTATAGTTATTTAGAAATTGAGCATTTAAACATATATTAAGAAAACTCTTAACACATGAATGAACAAAATTCATCTTATACAAAACATTATTATAGTGAGCTGATTTTATACCATTTTTTATGGCTAAGTAGGATGAATCAACACATGTTACCTCATTAGCACCATAATAAGCTAAAGTAATACCAAATGAACCAACATATGAAAATAAATCTAAAACATTTTTATTTTTACAAAAGGAAATGAGCATAGAACGATTACATCTTTGATCATAATACCATCCTGTTTTTTGTCCTTTCAATATGTCAACAAAAAAAGTTAACCCATTTTCTCTAACCTCTATTGGTGATTTGTATAGCCCTTTATATACTTCTTTTTTTAAAGGTAACTTTTCCAGTTTTCTTATATGACTATCATTTTTTAAAATAATTGTGTCAGGGTTTAATACAGTTTCTATACTTTTCAATATCATATTTAATAATATATCCATTCCACTTGCATTTATTTGAACACATATCAACTTATTATATTTATCAATTATAACACCAGGTAGTAAATCACTTTCAGCATTAACAACTCTAAAATAATTATCATTCTCATATAACTCTAATCTTTTTTCATATGCTTTTTTTATTCTATCATTAAAAAATTCTTCATTTATATAGTCATTTATATTTCTGCTCAATATACGTGATGAAATAATTGAATTTTTATTATATATTCCTATTCCTATATTTTCATTATATTCATCTTTTATATTTACTAAACAAGGGCTATATAAAATTAAATCTTCTGGATTTTTCACATCTTTCGAATATAACCATGGAAAACCACTTAATACATTTTTAACACATCCTTCATTTATAATTAATGTTGGTCTTTTAACAGGATTATCAATATAATTAATTTTTGTGTGATATTTATTATAATGTAAAAAATTTCTCTTAAATAACCAATAATTATAATTCTTTTTCATAAAAAATAATTTATCTTTAGGAAATGAAAAAAGAGTCACCATAATCTTTTAACATCATTTTAATCTTTTTGAAAAGATAAAGTGTTTTAGAATTACTTAAATACGGTTTTTTTTTTTTTTTTTTTTAATCTTATATTTAAAATATTTATATATGTAATTTAAATTTTAATACATATAAAAATAATTATCATAATTAACATATGTTTTCATTGTAAATTTACCATTTTTTAACATTAAAATTTCATAAACCATATATATATATTTTATTTAATTCAAGTACTTTTGTACTTTGTAAATTTTTTTTTTTTTTTTAATTTTTTTCCTATAAATTAATTTTTAATATTTGCTTTTTCTCACCCTGTAATCAATATGTATATCAACGTATTTTTCTTTTTCTAATTAATTAATTTATAACCATTATTGTTTCTACAAAAAAATAATCTTTATAAATTAACGTTTTTTTTCAAATATAATTTTTTTTAGAATTTTTTTTTGTGTTTTGTATTAACATGAATAATATAAAATAAAACTATAAAATTGATTTTATTTTTTTTTTTTATTTTTTTTTGAGAATTGCAAATTTTTAAAATATACAAAATATTTAAAAAAAAAAAAAGAAAAATGTAATTTTAAGATAGATGAATAATATGTAAATGAAAATTTAAAATGCAGATTTGAAGAATATTACAAAAAAATGAAGAATTCAAAAATAAATATATTATTCTGTAAAAAAAAAAAATATATATATATATATATATGATGGCTTTCTAGGTATAAATATTATTTAGTTAAGAAAAAAGTTGATACAATATATAAATATATATGAGTGTTTTTTATATAAAAGTATATATATATATAAGAAATATATTTAAAAAAAATTTTTGATGATTAACTAAAAATAGAATGTTTACTTTGTTTGTCACTTTTTGTGTCAATAATATCAAAAAAAAAAAAAAAAAATATATATATATATATATAAAAAAAATAAAACTTAAAAATGTATAATGGCATTGGATTAAAAACACCAAGAGGTTCTGGTACAAATGGTTATATTCAAATGAACATGGCTCATATTCGCCATGCTAGGAATAATTTAAGAGAATATGAGAAATTTCGCAATGAAGTAAAGATGAATAATCTAGTAGACAAAAAATATACGTGTGATTTTTCTATTATTGAACATTCTGAAAAAAGAAAAATTGAATTAGATGTTCTTTTATATGAAGAAAAAATGAAAAAAGAAGGCAAAGAAAATATTGAAGAGTTAACTAATAATTATAGAAATAAATTATATGATGAATATTATAAAAATAAAAAGAATGAAGAAAAATATAATGCTGATTCAAATCGTAATATTGATGCAAATGAAAATACTCATATTCTTAATGATAAGAAAAGAAGACAATTAGAAAATTTTGAAAAAATTTTAAAGATTAAAAAAGACAAGAAGGATAATAAAATTGAAGACTCAAATTATAATGAGAAAAAATTTAACTTGAAAAAAGTAGAACGTAATATGAAAAAAAAAGATGGAAATAAAGATATTTCCTCCTATACAAGCTATTCAAATGATTCAAGTGATGAAAGTTATTCAAGTGATTCAAATAATTCAAATACTTCAAGTGATTCAAATAATTCAAATACTTCAAGTGATTCAAATAATTCAAATGCTTCAAGTGATTCAAATCGTTCAAATTCTTCAAGTGATTCAAGTCGTTCAAAAGATTCAAGTAATTCAAATCGTTCAAAAGATTCAAGTAATTCAAATAGTTCAAATTCTTCAAGTGATTCAAAATATTCTAATTATTCAAGTAATACAAATAGTCCAAAAGATTCAACTGATTCAAAATGTTCAGAAGATTCAAGTAACACAAATTATTCAAAAGATTCAAATAATTCAAGATTAAAAAATTCTCGTAAATCAAGCAATTCAAGATATTCAGTAACTTCAAGAGATTCAAATTATTCAAGAAATTCATATAATAAACGTAAGTCAATAAATAAAACATATTTGAAAGATTCAGAATATTTATCTTACTCAAGTAATTCATCTGTTAAATTAAAATTAAGGAAAAATGAAAGGAGACATATTTTAAATAAGAAAAAAAATAGAAGAAACCGTTCAAGTAGCAAAAATTCAAACACAAATTCAACTATTAGTAGTAATATAAGTAAATTAAATAAAGAAAAGAGAAGGAACAATAAAAAATCTTTACATACATATGATAGTGATAACGATTCTTATTTTATTCACAAAAGGAATAATAAAAAAAAAAGAAACGATAGAGAAAATAGTATTCAGTCATATAATAAGAAAAAAAAAGATAAAAGTTCTGTGAGCCATGAAAAAATAAAAGATAATTTGAAAAATTCAAAAAAAAAGAATTTATTAAGTAATGAAGAAACTTTAAAAATAATCAAAAATATTAAAAAATATTACAGAAAAAAAAAGAGTAATTCTGTAAATAATGAATCTGAAAATCTTGAATCTGACTTATCTGCTAGTAGAAGCTCATCTGTTGATAAAAATAAAAAAAAGGAAATAATGAATTCCATGAATAGTGTTGATAATTCACATTTATCTTTTAAAAATAGAAATATCTTAAAGAAAAAAATGGTTAATTATGATGATATTTCTTATAGATCAAGTTATGATTCTACCAGTAGTATGAATAATGAAAAGCAAGAAACAAATATGTGTCTGAAAATGAAAAAAGAAAAAAAAGAGGAAACTAAAAAAGAATGCAATGAAAAAAAAGAAGAAATAAAAACAGAAGGAAAAAAAAAAGAAAGAAAGGAGAGAGAAAAGGAAGAAGAGGAAAGAGAAAAAGAAAGAGAAGAGGTAAGAGAAATAGAAAAAGAAAAAAAAAGAGAAAGAGAAAAGGAAAGAGAAGAGGAAAGAGAAAGAGAAAAAGAAAAAGAAAGAGAAAGAGAAAAGGAAAGAGAAGAGGAAAGAGAAAGAGAAAGAGAAAAAGAAAAAGAAAAAAAAAGAGAAAAGAAAAGGAAAGAGAAGAGGAAAGAGAAAGAGAAAGAGAAAAAGAAAAAGAAAAAAAAAGAGAAAGAGAAAAGGAAAGAGAAGAGGAAAGAGAAAGAGAAAGAGAAAGAGAAAAAGAAAAAAAAAGAGAAATAGAAAAAGAAAAAGAAAAAAAAAGAGAAAAGGAAAGAGAAGAGGAAAGAGAAAGAGAAAAAGAAAAAAAAAGAGAAAAGGAAAGAGAAGAGGAAAGAGAAAGAGAAAAAGAAAAAAAAAGAGAAAGAGAAAAGGAAAGAGAAGAGGAAAGAGAAGAGGAAAGAGAAAGAGAAAAAGAAAAAAAAAGAGAAAGAGAAAGAGAAAAAGAAAGAAAAAGAGAAAGAGAAAGAGAAAGAGAAAGAGAAAGAGAAAAGGAAAGAGAAGAGGAAAGAGAAAGAGAAAAAGAAAAAAAAAGAGAAAGAGAAAGAGAAAAAGAAAAAGAAAGAGAAAGAGAAGAAAAAAGAGAAAAAGAAAAAGAAAAAGAAAAAAAAAGAGAAAGAGAAAAAGAAATAGAAAAGGAAAGAGTAAAAGAAGAAAAAAGAGAAAAAGAAAGAGAAGAGGAAAGAGAAAAAGAAAGAGAAAAAAAAAGAGAAAGAAAAAGAAAAATAAATAGTGAAGAAATTGAAATTGAAGGTGAAGCTAGAAGGAAAAAAGAGAAAGTAACAAAAAGAGAAGAAATAAATAAAAGAGAGAGTGAATATAAAATTGAAAGTGAAGAAGAAAGTAAAATTGAAAAAAAATTGAGAGAAAAAGGGAAAAAGAGAAAAGAAAAAGACTAAAAGAAGAAGAAGAAAAAAAAAATAAAATTGAAAACGAAATTGAAATAAACAAAGAGAAAGAAAGAAAAATAAAATGTGAAGGAAAAAGTGGAAGAGTAAATGAAACTGAAGGAAAAAAGAAATAAAAAATGAAAAAAAGAAAAAAAAATAAAAAGGTAAAATAGAGAAAGAAATATAAAACGAAAAATATAAAAAAAAATACAAAAGAAACAAAAACCATAAGAAATATTATAATAATAAGATAAAGAAAAAAGAACAAATAAATAAAATGGAAAATTGTTGTAACATAATACATAAAATAAGGATATTACCTTAGGATAAATTTGGTCAGTTAAATTAAAATGAAGAAAAAAAATAAAATGAGAAAGTAAATAACAAAATAAAACCTCCATATATACAACAAATAAATAAAGAATAAGCATATATAATAAATTACAAACTAAAAGAAAAAAATTTTCTAATATATCTAAAGAATACATATACTTATATTAATAATAAAATATTCATTTGTTTAAAATATGAAAGAGATAAACAGATAAAATTTAAATTTATAAAGATATTTATTTTATTTTTAGATATAATTTTCAATAAGAGATGAAAAAGACAAAGTTTCTTAATAAGATATTTATACTTATAATTCATATAATTTTTATTTGTATTAAAATTGAAAATATAATTATTTTTTTATTCATTTTTTTTTTTTTTTGGGTAATATAATCCCTATTATTAAGAAAAATTATATAGGATATACATAATAACAAAACATAATATTTAAAAAAAAAAAAATTTAAGTATAAAAGTATAAATTAATATAATACTTTAAATTTTAATAGTTTTAGTAATACCCATATAATTATTGTTATTAAAAACACTATGAAAAATATATATATATGTATATATATATATATATATATATATATATATATATATATCAATTTCTACTTTTATTTTTAAACCATTGTAATAAACCACCTAGAAGACTTACAGTTTCAAATTCAACTTTATTATTATTTAAGGATTTTAAAAAATCATCATTATTATTTTTAGATATCATATCATTATCATCTAAATCAATTAATTGGGAATTTTTAAAAAATACATCACCTCCAACTGTGATTACTTTACCTTTAGTAAAATATTCTATCCAAAGATAATATAAATATTTAATTAAAAACGTTATTGTCCAAGAGATTGGAGCAATTATAAATAAGAATAAAGATAAAGTAAATTTATAAGTATTTTTTTTTTCTAAATTAAATAATTCATTATAAAATGGACTAATATTATACCAAACGGAAAATTTTTTTTGAATTAAATTGTAAAAATAATCTACACATACACTATCACATATAATTAAAATACTTATATCTTTTTTTTCTGTGGGTATTTGAAAATCTCCATATAATTCTGTTTTTCTAATTTGCATCCTTAATTTATTTATTTGATCGTGTGTTGTTTCATTGAAAAAAGAAAGTATTCTTTGTTTTAAATTTTTTTTTTTACTATTATTGCTACTTCTTTCATTATCAAAGGGAATATAATATTTAGACTTTATTATTTTTAGTAAGGTGGCATGTAAATTATAAGTTAAATATAAGGCATTTTCAACAATTAATGCTCTATAAAAATTGGGAGATATATTTTGCAAGTTATTTTCTTTATCACTTTTATTTTTTTCATTTTCAATTATTCCATTTTTACCTTTTGCATTTTCTTCACTATTAATAATAAAATAATATAATAATGAAAATATTTCTTTAGGATTACTAAATATTGCTGTACCTATACTGGTGAGTTCAGTTAATCTATCTCTACCTAAACAGAAATGTGGAATATTTAAAAGAAGACACTGTTGAATAATTGAAATATATTGTCCATTAACCTTTTTTAAATTAGAATGAATGGAATCAATCATTTTTCTTTGAACTAAATTAGCTCTATTAAATGATTTTAATATTTTATGATAGTCTACATATCCAATTCCTAGTACTACAAAATCATATTTTGTTTTTGTAATATGTTTAATTATACTCATATTTTTTATTTCTAATTTTTCTTCATTTTTTTTATTACTAGGATTTATGTCAAAAATACTTAATGATAAATTTTTATCACTCCATTTTAATTTTAGTTTTTTATATTCTACATCATTAATTTTCCAGTTTAAATTTTCGTTAATATTGTTTTTACATCTCAGTATAATATTTTTTATCATTTTTTAACTTTTTTTTTTTTTTTTTTCCCTCTACCATTAGATCTATATTTTTTTTTTATGCATACGATAATTTTAATAAATAATCTAAAGCATCAAATAATACAAAATTGTTTATTTAAAAAAAAAAAAAAAAAAGTCTTTCAAAACTTCAAAATATAATTTTATATAATGTTTTTTTAAAGAAATATCAAATATATTTTCTTTAAATAATACTATTATGTAATTTACATGATTTTAGAATCCTATTTTATAGTATATCAGTAAATTTGTAACTTTTTTTACATCTATAAAAATATTTTAAAATAAATATAATTCTTGTTCATTTTTTTTCTATCTCTCACTTCTGTTCTTTATCAATCTAACAAAATATGTAAAATGCTATTTTAAAAATAGAAATATGTTTATATATAGTTTACATTTTAATTTTTTTTATTTTTTTTTTTTTTCCTTAAAATGATATTATAAAATTCAATACATTTATTTAAAGGATTTTTGATATAAAAAAATTTCATCCTTAATTAATACATTTTTGTAAAAAAATTGTTAGAAAAAAATTTTAACATATATGAATTATGTGAGTATTTTTAGTTTTTACTATACACATATAAAATTAATTAAATAAAAAAATTGATTGATAATATAGAGTTATATTTAAAAATAAATATAAAATTTATCTAAAATCCTTTGTATTTAAAAGAAAATTTTGTCCATTAGTTATTTATAGAATATTAATGAATAAAATTTACAAAAATAATATATATATTAAAACATATTAGTATCTACTTTTTAATAAACTAACAAAAAAAAAAAGAAAGAAATGAACATAAATTATAATATTTTATGAAATATAAAATTTTTAAAATAAAGAATATTTTTTTTTTTTGTTTGAAAAAATTGTTCCAAGAATCGTTTATTTTTTAAAAAACCCTTTTTTTTTTTTTTTTTTTTTTTTTATAAATTGAAATAATGTAATTATTAAAATAGATGAAAAATTAAAAAAGTTATATAGTGAAACTAAAAAAAAAAAAAAAAAATAATAAGTCATGTTAACAAGTAACTTAAGAAAAGTTTTCATAGTAGGTTATGCTAGGACACCTATAGGCTCATTGTGTGGAAGTATTTCTCATATTCCTATTCATAAATTAGGTTTTTTTAAACAAGAAAAAAAAAAAAAATAAAAGAATAAATTAATAGAAAAATTATTCCATTTATATATTTACATAATACTATTTTTTTTATATATGAAATTCTTAACAATTCTTTTCTTTTTTTCAATAGCTAGTGCTACCATATTAAAAGCTCTAGAAAGAAGTCAAATTGAAAAAGATTTAATAGATTGTTTAATTTTTGGTCAATCTTTTTCAGCTGGTTGTGGCCCTTTACCTCTTCAAAAAATTATTATTGCTGCAGGTTTTTAATAAATATTTAATATATATGCTTTTATAAATAGATATATATATATATAAATAGAAATATATATATATAAATAGAAATATATATATATATATATATATATATATATATATGAAGAAAAAAGAAATGAATTGATATATGCACAAAAAATATTTATAGGTTTGAATATAAATACAAAATCATATCTCATAAATAATTTATGTTGTAGTGGGTTAGATTCAATAACTCTAGGTTATGATTTAATTAAAAGAGGGAAAGATATATGTATTGTTGGAGGTATGGAAAATATGTCTCAAAGCCCTTTTTTTTTAAAAAATTTAAGAACAGAAAAATATAATATAGGGAATAATATATTTAAAGATAGTATTATAAATGATGGATACGATTTTATAATTAATAACAAGGAATTAAAGAAAAATAATAATATAGAACTTTTTTGTAAAAAATTTAAAATACCCAGAATTGATTTAGATGAATATGTTATTAATTCATTTAAAAGAGCATCGAATGCTTATAGTGAAAATTTAATTCAACAAGAAATTTTCCCTTTGGTAATTCAAAAAAAAAACAAATTAGATATAGAAAAAAGTGTTATTGATAGTGATGAAATTTATAAAAAATGTAATATTGATAATATATGCAATTTAAGTAATGAATCTATTATAACAAATCATAATATAGCCCCTTTTGGTGATGGGGCATGTGCATTCATATTAATGAGCGAAAAAAAAATAAACGAACTTCAGTTAAATCCATTAGCTGAAATTATAACTTATGATAATGCTTCTGTCTATCCATCTGATTTTCCTCTAAGTATATCTCATTCTATAATGAAATGCTTAAAAACTATAAATAAATCATTTGTTGACTATTATGAAATAAATGAATCTTCTGCACTTAATGTAATATTTAATATCCAAAATTTAAAATTAGATTTGTCAAATGTAAATATAAATGGTGGGTCATTATCTTTAGGAAATCCAACTTCTGTATCAGGATCAAGAATTCTTGCATCTTTAATTACTGTTTTAAAAAATTTTGATATGAAATTTGGATGTGCATCTATAAATAATTATTTAGGTTCATCAACATCAATAATAGTTGAAAATTTATAAATTTTTTTTTTTTTTTTTTTTTTTTAATATTTTATCATATATCTTTTTTGTTTTTATAAAATTATTACTTTTTCTTAATATATTTTATCTTCATTTAATCTTATCCTTATTTTTTGTTATTTATATGCTCATTTTAAGTAAATATTCCATTTGTTGTAAAAATAAAACTTCATTATAGTCCCTCTGCTTTTTCTTTATATTACCATTTGATAATATAATGAACTTCATGATAATTTAACAAAATAAAAAGCTATTATTTTTAAAAATATTTCACTAAAAAATTTCATTTTTATTATAATTTTGTTTCTCAAAAAAATGAACAAATAAAAAATATAGCAAAGATAAAAAAATATTTTTACAATATTACTGAAAAAAATATTATATATATAATATTTGTATAATGAAAAAAAATGCATGAATTAGAAAAAAAATTTTATATAAAAAAAGAAATAGTTTCTAATTAATAAAAAATTTTCATAAGAATAACATTTTTTTAAAATTAAAGAAATTAATTACTTGTTCTTATTTATATTTTGTGTAATGAATCTATGCACATAATATTCATCAAATTTACATCTTCAATAGAACTACTAGAATTTTCTTCTAAATTATTTAACTTTATATTATGTAAAAACTTTTTTTTTGCTTTTTTTTTTATAAGTGAATATCTTTTTTTATTAATTTTTCCCTTATATATGTAGTTAATTTTATCACACTTTACATTATTTAAGTTCCTTTCTTTATAAAAAGAATCCTTTTCTTGTTCTTTTTTATTATAAGAACATGTATCTCCATTGTTATTTGTGTAATTTTCTTCTCTCATTTTTTTATACATAGAATCATTTTTTTTAAAAATATTTTTCATTTTTTCTTCTACTTTTTTTTCTTCTTCATATTCTATATCTCCTTGTTTTCTCTGTTTTTCTTCCTTATTCTCTTCTTTTTGTTCTATTACTTTTTTTTTTTTTTTCTGCTTTTTTTCCGTACTCTCTTCTTGTTTTTCATGTTTTTCTTCATATTCTACTTTTTCTTGTGTTGGATGCTTTTTTTCCTTATTTTCTTTTTGTTCTACCTCTTTTTCTACTTGTTTTTGCTCTTCTTCATATTCTATTTCTTTTTGTTCTACACCTTTTTCTACTTGTTTTTCCTCTTCTTCATATTTTATTTCATTTTTTTCTACTCCTTTTTCTACTTGTTTTTGCTCTTCTTCATATTCTACTTCATTTTTTTCTACTCCTTTTTCTACTTGTTTTTGCTCATCTTTATCTTCTCTATATACAGTTTCTTTAATTTCGCATTCTTGTCGCTTCCTGTTCTGCTCTATATTTTGACAATATTTATTACTTTGTAATTTTGTCAAAATAAAACTTTCTTCTTTATTTTTTTGAAAAAAACTCTGTGACATTTTTTTGGATATATTTTTACATGAATCTTCTCCTTTTTCAGCTAATTTTAAAATTGTATCTGAGTCAAGTAAAGAAATAGAACTTAAATTACTAATTGATCTTAAATAATTTTCACTTATAAAACAGTCAGAATTATTTTTAAATTCATTGTATTTTTTATCACTACTCAATTTATATATTTCATGTATATTTTCACATTTATCCTTTTCATCATTTATATTTTCATTTATTTTTTCTTCTTCCATCTCTTTGTCTTCGTGGTTTTCTTTATTATCTGTATCTTTTTGTTTTTTTTTTTTCACATCTATTTGCTTGTTTAATTCTTTTTCTTTTTCTTCATTTTGATTTTCTTGTTTTTTTTTATTTTCATTTTTTATACCTTCACTTTTTTCCTGAATTTCTTCGGATTCTATTTGAATTTGTTGATCCATTTCTTTCCTTTTAAACTCTTTGGATTCCTTATCCTCTTCATAGAAAACTTCCTGTTTTTCTTCTTTATGTTCATCTTCTCTTATTTTGTCCTCCTTTTTTTCTTTACATTCTAAATCTTCTTCAGTTTTTTTTGATATTTTACTTTTTATATTTTCCTCTATTGTTTTTTCTTTATATATATCACTTTTAACTTTATAATCTTTTTCTTCTACTTCCTTTAATTCCTCAATTAATGATTTTGTTTCATTATATTCCTTTTTGTTCATAATTTTTTTTTCATTTACATTAGTATTTCTTTGTAATTCTATTTTTACACTGGAATTATTATTTTTTTTAAAGCTATGTAATTTAAATCCATTTATATTATTTTTCTTTTTATTTCTTCTAAAAAATTTTAATCTTTTTTTATTTTTCACATTTTTATTAAATGTAAAGGAAAAATTATTAAATATATTTTCATAATAATCTTTTCCAAAGTACAAATGCTGTATATAATCAATAAATAAATTAATAGAATTATTATTACTTGCATACATGATGTAATTATCCTTTTGAGTATTTGAATACTTTTCCTTTTTTTTATATATCCTCTTTTTATAAACATTATTAGTGAAAAGATAATTTTTTCCAGATATATAGTTATTTATAGGATTTGAAGGATAGCAGGAATAAACTAATTTGTTAATTTTATCATTTTTGTTTCCATTGTAAAAAACATTTTTCGAATTACATATATTATTTGTATCTAATATAGTATCATATTTACTTTTTTCATAATGGTAAAAAGGTTTCCTCGTTCTTCTTTCTTCATTTTCATTATTTCTATAAGCAACATTATCATCTACATTTTGCATTATTTTATTATCATCTTCATTATTTATAAGATGTATATTATTTAAATTATTATGATTTTCTTTTTTAAAATACTTTTCAAACATTATTTCGATAACTTCACAAATTCCTTTATTCTGAAGTACACTAATATTATACACTTCTATTGGCATATTTTTATAATTATTAATATTATCATCAATAATATTTTTCATAATAATTGTAAGTAATTCATTACTTTCAACTTCTTCCAATGTAATATAGCATTTATTTTTTTTAATATTATCTATAATATTATTTGATTTTCTTATAATTTCTGAATACAAATTTTGATCTGTTTCTTCTTTAATTAAAAATTTACTAAAAGGATAATTCTTTATCAGAAAATATTCAACTACTCTTTCATATAATATGTCTAAATAATAGTTAAGAAAAATGTTATCACTAGATAAAATAAAATTCCAAAACTTCTCATTTTTATTAACATTTATTGTTTTAATATAATTATATATACAAGGTGCAGAAAAAAAAGATGTACCATCTTCAGATTTATTGCCTAATATAATAGTAGGTTTAAAAAATTTCTCATTTCTATTTTTATTGTTGTTTTTAACGTTGACACATTTTCTATACAAATAAGATAAATATACAATTGTTTTAAATATATGTTTTTCAGATCGAGAATCAATAACATAAAAAATAATATCAGAATCATCATAATAACAATCATAAATATTTATAGTATTTGTTTCTGTTCCTTCTAAATCATAAATTTTCAAATTTTTTTTATTAAAAATTATGCTTTTAGTGTTAAAACCTAAAGCACAATTAACATGATCATGATTTTTTAATATTTCTGTATTTAAAATATCAGATTTGCTTTTATTATCATAACTAGAAATTAAATTAAACAAACTTGTCTTACCTGAACCGCATTCTCCAATAATTAATATTTTCAGTTCTTCCTTTTTTTGTATATTTGAAAAAATTGACTTAATTAATGAGAACATTTTTTTTTTTTTTTTTTTTAAAGCTTTTAACTGAAAATATTTACATTATTTTTATAATATTTTTCTTTATATTAAAATATTGATGCTTATTATTCTTAAATTGTTTTTAATCAGTATAAACATTTTTTTTTTTATGAAATTTTTTTTTGGCTTATATAAATGTGTAAACATACAAACTTTTTTTTCCACTCTCCTATTATTTATATTCTATAATTTAGAATTTTTTGTTAATCTATTTTTTTTTTTTTTTTTTAAGTGTAACTTAGTTTATAAATTATTTTTGCTGATAATATTTTTAATTTATAGTAATTTTAACTAACAAAATAATCAAACACAAGTTAAAAGTGTATGTTTTGCTATAAATATAAATACAATATTTACAGATTTTTATTTATACCTGTAGAATTTTCTTATTTTAAAAATTTCTTATCTAATTTATAAATATCCAAATAGAATTTATTTAATGCAATATTTAAAAAAAAAAAAAAAACAAAACTAAATTTTATATCTTCCTTTTTTTAAAATACATAAAATTTTTAATTTTTATTATTATGTGATTATATATGATTTAAAAATTAAATAAATATACAAATATAAAAAAATCTTTCTTTTTATTTTTATTGAAATAATTCTAATAATTTTAATATTTCAATTTTAATAAAGAATCTATAAATTTTTCATTAAGATAAAATTAACTAAAATTTAAATGTCAAGATATATTAAATTTTAATATTTTAAAGAAAAATTTCCACTATAATATTTTCATTTAAATTTTTGTTACAATTAATATATATAAAAAGAAGAGAATTTATAACATTTATTTTTAAATTTTATATAAATTAAAAGTTCACTGAATCAATTAAGTTGTTTTTATGAAATGGAAATTCTCTCAATTATAAAATATACATTTTGATAAATAATTTTATTACAAAAGGAATATTATTCTAGTTTGTATTTTACTATAGTTAGTTAAAGTTTGATTAAAATCAGTATATGTTCTGCATTATTTTTTTCATGTTGTTAATATATATATATATATAGAAACTTCTAATTGTAATTAATAACAATAATTAAAATATAATTAAAAAACTTAAAAATAAAAAAGGCAAAAGGGTATATATATAAAATTAATAATAATATAGTTTCCTTAATAGTTTTAAGAAAAATGCCATTGTAAGTACATACTTTAAATAAATAAGCCCTAAAAACATAAAAATATAAAGAAATACCGTTCAGAAAATGAATGAAATTAGTAGTAAATTTGAAGTTAAATTGGATATTTATTTGACTAATTCTTCATATTTTCTTTTTAAATATATATATAAATATATTTATAATTCTTATAAAATATATTATCTTATAGACACTATTTAAAGTATATTTGCATAGTATTAAATACATATAAAAAGAACTATAATATTTTTTAAATTATTTTTTCATTTTTTATTAACCTATTTGTAATGTAATTATTTTATTAAGGTTATTGGAAAAAAAAAAAAAAAATTCTTGAAACATAATACACACAACAAAAAACTTTTTTCTAATTAAATTGCATCTCTTTTTCTTACAATTTTATTTTTTTTTTTCTTTTTTTTGACTTAAAGTGTATGTTTGAATTAATAACAGAAACATAAAATGATTTTACAGTTTTAATAAAAAAAAAATGTAATATACAGCTCACCACTATTAATTTTTATATTCAAAGCATTTAATAAAAAAATTTTGTGAACATATTCATACAAAAAAAAAAAAAAAAAAAAATTTTATTTTATTCAATGTTTTTGATTTGTAAATATTTACATTTTTATAAAGTTAAATTATACACTAAATTATAAAACTTTCTTTAAAAATCTTTAAGAACGTAATTTTTTTTTTTTAGAGCAACATACATTTGAGATATAAATTAATAACATATACCCTTTGGTAGTTAGCATATAAATTCTTTATTTATTGTAATTAAAAAAAAAAAATTAAAAATTATATGTTATTTTTATAAATGTTAAAATCAAGTATATATAAAACATATATATATTTATTTTGTGGTGCATTAAAATTTTTTTTTTCTTATTGAAAAATACATTTAAATTATACATATAAAAATAGTAACCTTATATTATTATATATATATATATTTAAAATAAAATATTCCCATAAAAAATAAAATTGTTCATAAATACACTAAATTTTTTCTGTATTTTGTGTTCAATTTTGAAATAATAAAAAAAAAAATACAAGTTCATAAGTCAGATATAAATAAAAAGGTATTTAATTAATATTTACTTTTGTATTAATTATTTTTATCTATTATTAAATATATATATATATTTATATATGTACATGTATGAGTTAAATATTTTTTTTTACTTTTTATTTTTTTTTTTAAAGTTATACAAATATATACATAAGTATATATATTAATTTTGAAATTTTTTTTTTTTTTTTTTTTTTTGAAAAAAAAAAAAGAAATATCTTGTTTTACATCGTAATTCCTTTAATAAAAAAAAAAAAAAAAATAAAAATAAAAAATATATTGTGCATGTTTACAAAATATTTTTACAGAAAGAAAAAAAAAAAAAAAATGCAGAATAATATAGCAATTTGTAAAGTTTTTTTTAAAAAAATTAATTGTAAATTTTTTATAAGAAATATATATATACATAAATAAATACATTTTGGAAATTCACATAGAAATACTTTTTAATAAAATTATGCGAATATATCCATAAGTAAATATAGATAAAAAAAAACATATTTATATATACTGAAATATTTTTTGATAAAATACTTTTGTAAATTTTCATTTTAACAAAAGATAGAATTAAATTATATTTTTATATTTCAATAAAATAAAAAAAAATTTTTTCTTTTAATATATTTATATTTGTTTAAAAAAAAAAAAAATAGAACAAAATGGTAAACTTTACAGTAGATCAGGTTCGTGAGATCATGAACAAAACGAAACAAATAAGGAATATGTCAGTTATAGCTCATGTTGATCATGGAAAATCAACATTAACAGATTCCTTAGTTTCGAAAGCTGGTATTATTTCAAGTAAAAATGCAGGAGATGCTCGTTTTACTGATACAAGACAAGATGAACAAGAAAGATGTATAACAATTAAATCAACAGGTATTTCTATGTATTTTGAACACGATTTAGAAGATGGAGAAGGAAGAAAACCCTTTCTTATTAACTTAATTGATTCTCCTGGGCATGTTGATTTTTCTTCAGAAGTTACTGCAGCATTAAGAGTAACAGATGGTGCATTAGTTGTTGTTGATACGATTGAAGGTGTATGTGTACAAACGGAAACTGTTTTATATCAAGCATTAGGAGAAAGAATTAAACCAGTATTACATGTGAACAAAGTTGATAGAGCTTTATTAGAATTACAGATGGAAGTAGAAGATATTTATCAAACTTTTGCAAGAACTATTGAAAGTGTTAATGTTATTATCTCTACTTATACAGACAAATTAATGGGAGATATTCAAGTATATCCTGAAAAAGGAACAGTATCATTTGGTTCTGGTTTACAAGGATGGGCATTCACCTTAGAAACATTTTCAAGAATTTATTCAAAGAAATTTGGTATCGAAAAAAAAAAGATGATGCAACGTTTGTGGGGTAATAGTTTCTATGATGCAAAAACTAAAAAATGGTCGAAAAACCAACAAGACGGTTATAAGAGAGGTTTTTGTCAATTTATTATGGAGCCTATTTTAAATTTATGCCAATCTATTATGAATGATGACAAAGAAAAATATACCAAAATGTTAACCAACATAGGAGTAGAATTAAAAGGGGATGACAAATTATTAACAGGTAAGCAATTGTTAAAGAAAGCTATGCAATTATGGTTACCAGCAGGAGACACATTATTAGAAATGATTGTTACTCATTTACCTTCTCCAGCAGAGGCTCAGAAATATCGTGTAGAAAATTTATATGAAGGTCCAATGGATGATGAGGCAGCTAATGCCATACGTAATTGTGATCCTAATGGACCATTAATGATGTATATTTCTAAGATGGTTCCAACATCAGATAAAGGAAGATTTTATGCATTTGGTCGTGTATTTTCAGGTACAGTTGCCACTGGACAAAAAGTAAGAATTCAAGGACCACATTATGTTCCTGGAGAAAAAACTGATTTATATGAGAAGAACATTCAAAGAACAGTTTTAATGATGGGTCGTTATACAGAACAAGTTCAGGATGTTCCATGTGGAAATACATGTTGTTTAGTAGGAGTTGATCAATATATAGTAAAATCAGGAACTATTACCACCTTTAAAGAAGCTCACAATATAGCTGATATGAAATATAGTGTATCACCAGTTGTACGTGTTGCAGTCAAACCTAAAGATAGTAAGCAATTACCAAAATTAGTAGAAGGATTAAAAAAATTAGCCAAGTCAGATCCTTTAGTTTTATGTACTACTGATGAATCAGGAGAACATATTATTTCTGGATGTGGAGAATTACACATTGAAATTTGCTTAAAAGATTTAAAAGATGAATATGCACAAATTGACTTTATTGTTTCAGACCCAGTTGTTTCATATAGAGAAACTGTTACGGAAGAATCTACCATTACATGTTTGGGAAAATCACCAAACAAACACAATCGTTTGTTTATGAAAGCATATCCATTGGCAGAAGGTTTAGCAGAAGCTATTGATAAAAATAAGGTATCTGATAAAGATGATCCTAAGGTGAGAGCAAATTATTTACATAGCAATTTTCAATGGGATAAAAACTTAGCATTAAAAATATGGGCATTTGGTCCTGAAACTGTAGGTCCAAACTTATTAACAGATAACACTAGTGGTATTCAATATATGAATGAAATTAAGGTACATTGTGTTGCAGCTTTTCAATGGGCAACAAAAGAAGGAGTTTTATGTGAAGAAAATATGAGAGGAATTGAATTTAGAATGTTAGATGTCCACATGCATGCTGATGCTATTCATAGAGGTGCTGGACAAATTATGCCTGCTTGTAAAAAGTGTTTATATGCATGTGAATTAACTGCTTTCCCAAAACTAGTAGAACCTATATATCTTGTTGATATTAATTGCCCACAAGATGTAGTAAGTGGTGTTTATAGTGTTTTAAACAAAAGAAGAGGAATTGTTATTTCAGAAGAACAAAAATTCGGAACACCATTGATAAAAATTCAATCTCATTTACCTGTCGCTGAATCATTTGGTTTTACTTCAGCTTTACGTGCAGCTACATCAGGACAAGCTTTTCCTCAGTGTGTTTTTGATCATTGGTCAATTTTAAATGATGATCCATTTGATGCAAATAAAAATGTATATAAAATTATCATGAATATTAGAGAGAGAAAGGGTATTAAAGTAGAAATGCCATCATTAGATCAATACTTAGATAAGTTGTAAAAATTCAGAGATTTATATTCATTGTTAAGTGTAATCATGTAATTATAAAAAGAGAATATAAAATCAAAAAAGAAATATAAAAATAAAAGATATACAAAAAATATATATTTATATATATATAAATAAGAAATTTGACAAATAATTAAAATTTATTATTATATTTCGTGTATAAAAATTACATTAATTATTTTTTAACACAGCTTTATTATATTTAATTTTATTTATATTTTTAACTTATTTTATTGTGTATTTTAATTTTTTATTTTCTTATTTTTTTTTAATTTAATATTCAATAAGATATTAACAATATTAAACAAATAAAATAATATTAATATTAATAGAAATTTATTAATGATCTAATGAAAATACATAAATGAAAAAAAAAAGAAATTTCACATACCTTTTGAAGATTATATTTTGGTTACCTTATGCACTGTGTATATAATATACTTTCATAATGAATATTGTTTTTATTTAACAATTCATTAAATAATGTTTCTTTTCATTTAATCATTTTTTTTATTTTTCTTTTACATTTATTTTTTTTTATTAAATTCAAAAAAATATTTTATCATACACACAAATTATTTATTCATATAGATTAAATTTCGCATTTATTAATGTGATATATAAATTGAAACGTATAAAGATTATAAGTTTAATTAAAAAGGTATGAATTTATATATTATAATGAAACTTGTAATAAGACTAATATGAAAGATATAAATATCAACCTTTTTCTGTTTTTTTTTATTTATGATAAAATATACAATAATGGATATCATAATTGCAAAAAAAAAAAAAAAAAAAAAAAATAAAAGTATTAAAATTAAATATTTCAATTTCATGAAAAATTAAAAGATTAAAAATATATAAATAAAAATAAATAAAAATGTTAAAGAAAAAAAAAACTAAAAATAAAGCAAAATATTTAAAGCTAAAATAAAAAAAATTAAAAATGCAAAATATACAAATAAAAATATTTAAAATGGATATTACATAAAATAAGAAAATATTTTGGTAAAAAAAAAAAAAAAAAAAAAAAAATTAAATAATAAAAAATTAAATAAAATCAGTTGTTATTATTCATTTATTACTATTATATCCAAATGAATTTTTTAATATAGATAAGGAACAGTTAGGTATTCTAAAATTTTTTTCTAAAAGATATATTTGATTATTAATCATTTTTGTACATTCATCAAAAAATACTTTTTTTATTTTAGATATCATGCTCAAACAATCTAAAATTTCTTTCTGTGATTTATCAGTTTTTACATTAATAATTTCATCATACTTTAAATCAAATGTTTCCTTTAATAAACTAGTTATGGTTTCTTTATTATGCATATTAATGTTATCTGAAAGTGATCTATTATTAACATTTAAATTACAACAATCAATTGATTCCTTATTTTCATTGTATATTATCATAGTGTCATTTTCTTTTTTACTTAACTTTGAAAAGTTATTTTCATTACTTATATTATCATTATATTTTGTTTTATTATCATCAAATTCCTCTTTTAATAAAAAAGAACCACACAAATTTTTTTTATCATTATCATCTGTAACAGAATTATTAGTTACAATATATACATTTTTTATTTTAATATTTTTTTCTTCAATATTAGCATCATATTCAATTTTTTGATCTCCATTAATCTCATCATGAAAAATATAATTTTCACTGGGAATTTTTTTTTTTAAATCTTTATTGACAGAAAGGTCTTCTTTTTCACAAACAATTTTTTCGTTTTTTATGTTCATACCTGTTTGAGAAATATTTGTAATATAATCATTATCACCCTTATAATTGTTTTCAATTACAATACTATTTTTAGTATCATAATTATATTCATTAAATTTTTTTTTATCATCTAAAAATGTTTTTTTCTCATTGTTATTAGTAAAGTTGCTTTCAGTATTGTCATTTACCTTAAAAGATAAATCATTTTTTAAAGTGTTGCCATATTTAAGTTCATCATTTTGTGTATTACCAAAATTATTAGTTAGCATTGTGTCATTATATTTATTTTTTAAAAAATTATCTTGCATTAAAATATTTTCTTGTTTTAAATTATCTATCTCCTTTTTTTCGTTACTTTCGTCTATAAAACTATTTTCATTCACATTAGAATAAATACCTTCTTTTCCTTGATTTAAAATATTCGTATTATTTTTATCTATAATATCTTTTTCTTTTTTAGTTTCATTATTTTTACTGTTTTCAATTTTTTCAACATTTTCTCTTTCTTCATTTTTTCCTGTTTTTATTTTAAAGAAGGAAATAAAGTTTGAAATATTTGTTAAATTATCTTTTTTTTTATCTTCATTTTCGTTTTTACTCTTTTTATCTTCATTATTTTCTTTACTTTGTTCACTGGATTCACATTCTTTATTTTTTTCATTATCATCATCTTTTTCATTCTTTTCAACTTTTACATTAAGAATTAAATTAGGATCATATTTATTTAATTCATTACTTATTTGAGAATCATTTTCTTTAATATGACATTCTATATTTTTTGAATTACCAGATGTAGAAATGTTGTTATTGATATTTCCTTGCTCATTTACATAATTTTTCATAATATTTTTATTATTTTCATCTCTATACATTGTTTCACTTTTATTTATATCCATTAAATTGCGTTCATCATTTAATTTACATTTAAGTACATATTTAAAATCATTCATTTTACCTTTATCTTCAGATAATGTATGACCATTATCATTAATGTTATCTTTGGTAAAATGGTTATTGGCATTTAATATTCCATTCATTGTACTTTTACTATTCATATTATCATTATTATCATATAGTTTACTCTTACTATTAATATAGTTAACTTTTTTAAAAAATTCTATATACTTTTTTAAAAAATTATTATCCTCTTTATTTTCATAAATAGGATCATTAGGGTATTTTAGGCATATATCTTCATTTCTTCTATTTGTCAAATTATTATTTTTATATAATTTTGTAGAAATATAATTCTTATATAAAATTTTTTCAGATACATTTTCATATTTTGTTTTTGAATATTTAGAATAAAATAAACATTCATTTTTTAATGTTTCTTTTATTAATTTATTTAATTCATCACATACAAAATCAATATTATTCTGATAATTTATTTTATACAAACTTTCATTTTTATATTCATTATTATTAAAATAATTCTTCTCTCTCTCTATATTATTTGTTTTTTTCGTAATATCATATTTCTTATCATTATCATTTTTATTAAAATTATCCGTTTCATCATTTTCTATATTCTCCAATTTTGTATTATTTAAATGTAAATCATTTAAAATAATTTTTGATGTATTTATAAGGTCGGTATTATTTTGCATAGATGACTCTGAGTTTATTGTTCCTAATATATTATCATTATTATTATTATTATTAGTAGTAGTAGTAGTAGAAGTAGTAGTGGTAGCAGTAGTAGTAGTAATATTATCATTATTATTATTATTATTATTATCCCCATCATTTTCTTCATTACATAATTTATTACACTTAAAACCATTTTCATTATTCATACTTGAAATGTTATTTTTAAAATTATTTTTATCAATTTCATCTTTTTTATAATTAAAATTATTAATTAAAATCTTATTATTTTGAATATCACATAGAGATAAATTATCTTTAGAAAATGAACATTCATTTATTTTTTCATCTTTTTTGCACATTTCATTAGTTATTGCATAATCCTCTTTGTTTATTTTATTAGAGTCTATATTATTTTTTTGTAAAGATTCACTCCATTCATTATTACTTTGTGCATTATTACTTGAATTATTTTCTGGTATTTTTTTTTTTATTTCATTTAAATTACCATTTATTTTATTTTCCTCCAATTTATTTTTTAAATAATCATAATAAAACTTATATTCTAGCTGATTTAACTTGCTTAAAATTTCATTATTATTATTTAAAATATCTACTATATAATTCATAGCATAAATAGTGTCATTTACATTGTGAGATTCACGAATTTCATTCGAGAATTCTTCATGTATATTTTCGGATAATTTAATTTGAATGTCACCCAAAAATGATAACATTGAATCGTAATCTATATCTTTACACTTACTTACTTTTGATAAAAATTTTAAAAATTCTTCATTAAAATTAAATATAGTATTAATATTATTTATATGATTCATGAATTCCTCTTTATTCATAAATGTTTCATTTGGAAAAAGTCGTTTGTCTCTATTTTCTAACATTTTGTTATTTTTATATTTTATTGTATTATTTGAAATATCAGTTGGGTAGGTACTAGATGCCATATATTTCTTTTTATATTTTCTTTTAGTATATTTTCTTTTTCCTCCATTTTTGTTATATATGTAATCTGCATAGGGTGAATATTTCTCATCTTTAATTTTTACATCTTTTGATTTTCTTCTAGTTTGCATTGTATTATTATTATGCCCAAAATTTACATTTTTTCTTATAGAAAAAGGTTTATCATATGAACACAAATTATTTGATATATATTTATCATCATTTAATTCGAATAATTGATTATTACATGACTCATTTTTTCTCTCTTTCTTGTATACGTATATTTTTGGTAATTTTACATTTTCATTATTCGTCTTTTTATACGTATTGGATAAAAATTCTAAATTTTTTTGTATTTTTCTTTTTCTTCCTCTCTTTTTTTTTTCTACAACAGGAGGAATATTTGTTTGTGATATTAAATCATCCTTATTTTCTAAATTGGTATTTATATGTGTGCTATCATTTATAACATTGTTACTACTACCTATCTTTGGAATTTCTGTGTTTATATTATCTTCCATTCGTTTTCCTTCAAAATTTTTGATGTCCTCTTTTTTTTTTTTATTATCATTATAATCTACCTTTACTAGATTGATAAATTCCTCTGATTTGGAATCTCTAACTTCATTATTAACATAAATATTATCATAATTATTATTACTTTTTGAAATGCTACCTAATATACTTTCTGTAGAATTATCTACATCTATATTGCAATAACTATTTAATGTTTTTTCAGATGTATCAGCTAATAATTCGTTTTCTAAAGTATTAGAACAGTAGTAAGGTTTTTCATTTGATTGAACATTATCTAAATTCAAATTTTTTTTTTTATTACATGTTTCATTATTTTCATTTGTATTTATTTTATCAATGAAATCACTTGCTTCTTTATTTGTATTTTTTTCATTATTATTCATTGAAAATTCATTTAATATGTTTCCCATATCATTCTTTTTTATATTATTATTAAATAAATTACTTTTTTTATTTTCATTATATTCTATACCATTTTTATATTTATATTTCTTTATATATTCTTTTCTAGTTTTTTTTAACTTTTTTTCTATTTTTGTTTCAGGATTTTTTTTGCTTTTTCTTTTTTTCATAATAACTTGATCATTTTCATTTAAATTAGAGCATATCATTTTTTTATCAATACTTGTATTATCTTTTAATAACATTTCATTTGTATTTTTTTCTTTATCTACATTATTATCATTAACACTGTTACTATTTTCATTAATATCTTTATTAATTTCATGTAATTCTTTTTTTTTACTTATTTTATTTGTTTGTTTTTGTAACTTATTTTCAGAAATATAATTTGAGTCAATACAATCATAAAAGTTCTCTGAACTTTTAACAGTATTAATTTTTACCTTATTTTCTTTACTTTTTATTTTTTTATTTTTCAGTACACTTGAATAATATAAATCAAGATTGTCTGAAAAATCATCATTAGCATTTATTTTTTTTTTTTTTCTTCTTTTATCTTCTCTTAATTCACTAATATTTGTTTCATATTCTTCATTATGATTTTCTTGAGATTCTGTTATGATAAAACCAGTAGAATCACTCTTGAAATTATTTTTTATATTATTCATTTTTTCATTTTTTAAACGCATTTTATTTTTATTTAATTTAATATAATTTCTTTTACTACTTTTACCTATTTTTAATATATCTTCATTTTTTTTTTTTTTTTTTTTTTTCACGTCTAATAACACAGAAAAAAAAAAAAAAAAAAATAGGAAATATTGCGATAAAAATTAAAAAATATATATATATATATATAAATATATATATTTAAAACATAGGAGTAAATAAAATATTTGATAAAAGCTTTTATAATAATAAAAATAAATTTAATAAGAATTATATTTTTTTAAATATTTAAATAAGGTACATAATTTCTTTACGGAAAATATATATTTATAAATATTATATATAAATGAAATAAAAATATATAATAGTAATCTAATTTAGATAAAACAAAAAAAATAATTATCTAAATAAAAAAATATTAATAGTATAAAGTAGTTTATTTCATACTAGTTAAATATATATGTATATATAATACTTAACCACTTGTATGAAAAAAAAAAAAAAACTATTTAGTATAAAAATATATTATTTAAATTAATGAAGTTAATGAAGCATTTATTGTAATGATTCTATTAATAAAAAACTATATTAGTTCTACAATTCTTTTCATTAGAATATAATTTAAAAGTAAATTTTCATATTTTAATAAAATAATTTTTCATAATATAATATTATATATTGCGTAAAAAAATGTTAATCAATCATAAAAAGTAATCAATAAATTATTATTATTAATTCTCTTTTAATTTTCATTTTTATGATAAAATAATACATATATCTAATAAATATATAAGCAATTTTTAAAAAATAAAATTCAATATTATAAAAATCTTAAGGAATAACTATTTTTTTTTTTTTTTTTTTTTTTTTTTTTACCTTTTCTTT